GGACAGATTAAGGCGACGAACGGAAAGGGAGTTGAAAGCAAAAGGAGTAAAAGAAGACACGGCCGCAAAGTCTGGACAGCAAACTCTAATGGGAACTTCCGCTATCTCAATGAAGCAAGACATTCAAGAATTCATGGAGGTAATGAAATTTGTGATGAACACACATTTTGTCACAAAATTATCAATATCTAGATAGAAACAGATACGGAAACGAATATTGTACACGAAAAGTCCTTTTCCGAAAAGCGCTATCGGGCTGGTCCAGATGATCCGTTCAGATTGAAGGAGGAAAAACGAATTGCTGTAGTAAGAAATTGCATTTAGTCAAATCTCCTTATCAAGCTAACTATTATCGCCCTAATTGCGTTTTTGGTACTATTGGAAGCTTGAAAAGACATACATGTCGCATTGCTTTGCCTTGCAAGTATGCCAGCGCTGTGTGATGCGTTGGCTCTAGTTTTGTAGATTGACTTCAACTTAAAGAACTGCGACAGATAGGCACACAAATGCATGATTTCAGGCTATGAAAAAAATCGAAAAAATGGAAAAGGAAAAAACAGCAACACCTCAAACAATAACTGGAGTAGAAAACGAGAACGTACAGAAAACAAAATCTACAATTAAGAAAATATCTAAGCGCAGCAAATTGGATATTTGCAAGACCGCAATTGAGAAGAGTTTTGCACAGCTGACGCCACGTCAAGGACGAGGTAAAACAGAAACGCAACGTGACACCAAAAACTTGAGCATGCAAAGAGCAAAAACAGTTGTATCACGCGAAGCTAGCGCAAAAACAGCAAAAATTCCAGTTTCAAGTTCTGTGAAGACATGGAAATCTAGAATAAGTTCTGGAAAAATCAAAGCTTCACTTCTGAGAAGCAGGACACCACACACAGCACACAAGGGAGACAATTATAGCAAAAGCTCCAGTTTGGGAGCTAAGGGAGAGAATAGAAGCATGGGCATGAAGAAAATGGCGACATCGCATAAACACAAAGAGGAGAGCCAACATACAGAGAAAACAATAAATTCCATTATGAAGAAAACACCGCGCAGAAAGCGCAGAAAATCCCAT